TTTGCAAATACACATAAATACTTCTGCCGAGTGGCCAAACTCCATATTCATTCATGACTGTATTTTATCATGTGAATATTCTAATTCTCAGAATCACTAGTTACCCTGCAGTAGTTGTATTGATTCTCATGTTTATATAGGCTTAAATTGCAGATTATGTGGAATATTAAATCTTTGTAAAATACATTATAGCTATAGGTGTGTGTTCAGTGGGCTACAGAAAGTAATTTTTTAAAATATAAGTTATGCTTACATTTTTTTACAGTTATTGTTCTTTTGAGTATTCTCTCGGAAGTTATTACGGTTTTATTCATTTGCCATTGACAAAACATGCTAGCTCCTTTAAAGGCTAAACAGTACCATTACTGTCCAGAGCTACTTGAGAAAAACAGCTTTAAAATGTAAATCCTGAAAAAAGGAAGCGTCATAATAGGTTAAAAGAAAGCTCATTTTAATTATTGTTTTCATTAGTGTGCTTTCTAGTTAGTTTAGGAAAGTGTTATAAGCAAATGAGTAGACTGAGGGCAGACTGATACAGTAAAATATTTCAAGGATAAACTACAATTAATCACAAATACAGCCAGTTCTCTACATAGATGGGTTCCAACATGTGTATGTAGACGGTTTTACTTACGGTACACAATGATTGCACATCAGTGCAAGAATGGAGCCCTGAACTGAGACTGTTTTTACAGCAGGGACTGCTGCCTCAGAGAAACCAATACCTCGAGGTGAGCAGCATCCTGGGAGGTCCCGTGAGTGCCTAAGTAATCACTGCAGTCCATATCAGCCACTGTGGGCTGCTGCTAAGTTAGCCTACAGATCTAACCTGCCTCTGATAGCAAAGTATGCTGTTGCCATCTCTGGACCTAGTTTCCCTTTGCTTGCTTGACTTATTTTTCCTTATTTCTGTTTCTTAAGGCCTTTGAAGCTGATAGATCTGCTAAAGGCCATTTAGCCAGAAATGCCTTTGTGACTATCAAAGGTGCTGGGTTATGTAAATGGGGGGAGAGAACTCATTTGCTGTAAACGTATTGCAATTTGCTGTCGTAAGGTGTGGCAATGTGATTTTAAAGGAATAATCACTTGTCAGTATTCAAATTAGATAATTGGGATGTATCAGTTTGATATTTCATGTCCAGAATTTTATTTTTAACCAGTCCAGGCTCTCATAAAATATGTCACATTTTCCTTACTGCTTTAATCTTTAAGTGCTGTTGACATATATGTGATCCTCAATATTACTTGTGATTTAAGTGTTTTGTTTTAAAGACATAAATGTTTTCACTATCCTTGCTAGATAGAAATTGTATTGCAAATATCCTGCCAACAGCTTGCTCCCACTGATGCACAGGGCATCCATATATAATAAGAGGAAGAACAGACCCCTACCAAGAAAATGGTGAGAGCACTTTCCCGGCCTGTTTTTGTGAGTTTGTGGCTGCTGCTTACTGAAAAAAAGCCTCCAAGGTTGGGACTGTACAGCTGGGTAACTCAGTTGGAGGTTCAATCCTCCCACCGAGTCCTTTGACGTCAAAGGAGTTCCTCATGGACTGGAGCAGAGGTCTTCACTGAGTAATTAGAAAATAAATGTGGGAATCATTTTCTTTCCTTTTTTTTTTTTTTGGTGCAAAACATAATTAGCTCAATCCACTCTTCAAAATCCCTCCTGTTTCCAATTAAGAGAGATCAGTTGCACTGTCTTCAAACAGCTGAAATTATGCTTATTAATAAAAAATGGAGTGTAAAAGAATTGTTTTATCTTGAATTAATTTTTATTATTATGGGACATATGACAGTATCCACTCTTATAAAATATTATCAGATTTAGTACAAATCCAGGCAGTTGTGTGTCCTATATCTTGAACAGCAGTTACAGCATGACTCATTTATTCAGCTCTCCCCCATGCTTAAGGATTTTTAAAATGTGGATATAGGGCCTGATCCTCAAGGTCTCACTGAAGTATGAGGTTTGAGGTGTACTGGCACATTCCCAGTGAAGTACCTGTTCAAGTTGATAGCTGTTTTGGCAGAACCAACCTCTGAATGTCCACAAGACACAAACTGGGCTAAAATCATTATGGTCTGTGTGTAAATGCTCAATGTCTTGAATAGCTGGGTGCAGGACTGAGAGTAGCAGTTCAGTAGGAAGGGACAGTTTTTGGGGTCGGTGGCTAAATGTGTAAGCAATCCAAAGTGATGAATTCCATATCCACTCTCAAGTCTAGAGGGAAGAGGGTTGGTAGTACTCAGAGTTGTGGTTTCAGTGTTGTTTCCTACCTTGCAAGAGTGTGCTCCTACCCGTTGGTGATGGACTGTTGTCAAAAGCATCTCGTTGATTTGTTCAGCCCTGGTACATTCTAGCTCATTTCAGCAGTGGATTAGGCAGTTGCTTGGATCATGTTTAACGACAGGCCTAAAGTTAAGAACCTGCTTGAGCTACTGATGTTTACAAAGGAACCTGTAGATCTGCGTAGGTAGGACCTAAGGCACTGCAGGGATTAACAGGGCAGGAACAGAGAGACCACGAGGAGAAGAATTATTTTCTGTTGCCTCAGGTATGTTGAAGGAACAGTTGGAGGCCCCTGATCCAAACTGAAGCTTTCAGAGATGGTTGGGAAGGTTGGTGTGCTGCCTTGTTTCTAGTGCCTTATGAACAGTAGCTCCGCAACATTCAGGTTTTGTTCACCTGCATTCCTGGAAGTGCAATGCAACCTCTACCGGGATTGTCAGAAAACTCCAGCTGCATATGATTTGATTTTAACTTGATTATTTTATTAGAGGTGTGAGTAGATGAGAGGTTTACTAAAGTCCTGTGTACTTTGTCTAAAGCACATCATTGCTAACCAAGTTGGTGTGTTGGGACACTGTAAATCCTTTGTGCTGGTTTTACCCATTGTGGCCCTAGCTAGTACTTCTGGATGTTTCCATGCCTGTTTTCAATGGAAACCCTTGTATTTAAATTGAAAGGAAAAGCTAGTTATTTATCTTTTGTGACAGATATAATCCTGCAAGGGGATGAGAAATTTGACCTGATACTGAGGGCATCAGCATTGAGGGATTCTTTGTATGCACAAACTCATTCAAGTTCCCAGCAGGATCAGGCCCCATTGGACATCCAGGATGTGTAGAATGTTACTTCTTCCTTTTTGCATGCAGATTGCAATGTCATTTTTTTGTAACTCTGGTGGGTTTTTTTCCCTTTTCTGTGTGTGTTTTGTTTATTTTAATTCATAGATCTGAATATGTAAGTGCATTTCTGCTATATGGAATTAGTGTATATGAAACTGATGAAGTATTGTGTATTAGATTTTCCATTTTTCAGGCTAAGTGCACAAAATTAGAAGGGAGAAAAATGGTCAAACACTTGGTTCAAAGTAATTCAATAATGAAATTGTTGACTATAATTACTTTAAATGTAATTCAGATAGATCCAACTGGAAGAATTATGGAGGAGAAATGTATAGCAGAGCTGTCAGGACAAGGAAAAATAGATACTGCTAAAAAAGCCTACACTACATCTATATGACATATTAAATTTACCTTAAAAGAAATTCCCTGATAAGTACATACCTGTGCTTAAAGAACAGAATCCTTTCCTTTTGTCTTTTACAGCCCACACCAGCATACTTTACACAGTTCAAAACTGTTGATAGCTCAGAGAATTCCTAAGTTAGCAAAGATGTTTTTTGAATAATACAATCAGCTTTGCATTGCTTCTGGAGTTTCAGCAAGTTTTTAAGCAAATATACTATCTTCAGACTGTGGTTTATATCAGAGGTTTATATCACACTAAAGAAAAAAAGCCCTCATTTACCTGATTTTGGATGTTTATTTCAGCATTTGGATTCCTAACAAAAGAAATGCAGGGAGATGTATCAGCTCCATCAAAAAGCAACTAATAAAATACAATTTAAAACATGGAGAGGAAGTGGCTACAAACATTAAGGAATTTGGGGTCGGGGCAAGAAGTGTTTGCATTATTTAAAAACCTACAGCAGCTTCTTTTTTTTCTCCCAAATCAGACATTTTACTTTTGTCGAACAGTTTTTGAACTATTAACAAATGGAGTCAAATCTAGCAAAAGTTTGCTGCTTTTTCAATTAATATCAAATTGAGGAAATGGCTCTTTACACTCTCGAGCACAGACCATTTCAGTGGACTCCATGTAAATACAGATTTCTTCACTGGTTACTAATGCAAAAAATATGCTTATGGTTAACTATTAACCTATGCTTCCAAATAACACTAATGATTGCAATGTGCTGGAATAAATGCTCATGTTTCATGGGATGAGAACAGTCCTGTTCTCTTAAGCTTATCTAATCAAAGCCTAATCCTGCCTTTACAGCCTTTGTTAAATGCACTGGTATTTAATATGCATCAATAAATAAACTTTCAATTATTGTGCAGTGAGCATATCCAAAGATAGCATGACAATGTGAAACTACTGGTCTATCTAGCAATTATTCTAAATAAAGAATGTTGATGATGTGCTTTCCCCCCTCCTTTTATAATGGATAATTTAGATTTTCTGACATTCTTTTGCAGTCTCATAATAAGGAAAATAAATTAATCTAGGCAAATAAAATTCAGAGAATTGAATTTTTACACCATCTAAATACATCTCCCCACTGTGACTAGAAATGAAATTATTTGGTTTTAAATGCATATGATCTGTTCTAAATAAAAAAGACCAACTGATGAAAATTTTAGTGTTTGTGAAAGGTATTTTCAAAAGTTTGCCAAGTGGGTAGTGTGTGATATATGTTGGTGTGCTCTGAGCTACTGCATTCTTTTGTCTCTTTGAGTAGGCTTTTACAACTAGTTAAGGACATTATGCCAAAAGCATATTAATTAACTGTAGTACAACTACCAGCCCAGCCGGGTTCTCTGCTCTATCCATGTCTATTTTACCTTCATTTTTTCAAAAGTTTCACTGTTGCTTTAGTGTATTCTTTGCAAAGAGTCTTTCTCACGGCATCTGTTCATTTGTACTTAGTGAAACATCAATCTACTCAGGTTCTTCTGCATCTCTGTAATAGATGTCAGTGTTTTGGTAACTTTATAAGCCAAGTATTGCAGAACACAGATAGGGTTTGTTTGGTTAGTTGGTTGGTTGGTTTGTTTGGTTTTCTAACGAGCCAATGAACTTGTGTGTTGTTATGCAGTTCTGTGTTACAGAAACATTAATATTTTGCCTTTTAAAAAAGCTTTCAATAAATCTCATGATGTTAGAAGAATTTTAGATACTGATTACTTGCAATTGACTCTTGGTGTTTTGCTCTTCAGATTTCCAGCCAAATTTAACAAAGTATGATTTCTGGAACGCTTCTGATAGTTGCTCATTAAAATTGCATTTTAAATACAATCATGTAATTGCATGGTTTCTATAATTTCACCAAATTTCATGATATATTTACTCCCTTTGAAAGGCTCTGGTTGAAACATCCGAAACAATTAGCAAAAAATATTATATTAATGCTAAATGAAAGAAATAGATCTGCCAAAATCTTGGTCTCAAAGCTGCATTTGTCAAAAGCACTTCTCTGAATGATCTTTTATAGGATAACTGTACAATTGTTAACAGACATTTTTCTCATGTTGTCAAAGTATTTGAAAAATGAGAGAGAAAGAGAACACTCAGGAAGAAAAAAATCCACAAGTAATCAATGGTGTGCTCAGGTGGAGTGAGATTTGCAGTACTTGTACCTATAAAATGTAAGGCTCAATTAGAGGTACTTTGCAGTTTTCAGCCTAAATTTAAATGATTTGGTGATTTGAAAATACATTAATCCCCCCCAAAAATAAAAAGAATCCAAATGCAAATGAAGGCAACAACAATAAAATATAATTGCAAATGAATCTGTTGCTTTATTCATTTATTGTGTAATTACTGCAATCCTTCCCACCTTGTTTTCAGTATTTCTTAATCATTAAGTCGGAAGCATGACAGCAGTGCCAGCCCTGGCATGATTCTCTTTGACTAAAACCTTGTAAATTAACGCAATTAGCACAGCATCATCCTGCTAATTAACTTCCAGTGTCTGGTGCAGTGGTTTTGCAAACAAGGAAGAGGGAGTCAGAAGGGAATAAACATGCCATTCTGTTACCAAACTGTGTGCTGTGTTAGGTTTAGCTCAGCGAGGCTAAGCTGGCCATGTCAGATGCCAGAGTCAGGCAATGAAGAGCTAAAGGGGTTGGGGAGAAAAATAGGAGGGGGTAGAAGCTGTCAAAATAGACTGCAGTAATTCAGAGGGGAGCTAGTGCCACAGATGCTTCATTTCGACTAGGCCTCCTCCTTATCAGGGAATCTATGCCAGAGGGCACAAGGCTGTTTGCAAAAATCACTTTTGGTAATACGAGAGAGATTAAGGAGGTCTATTTGATACAGCTGTACAAAACCCAGCTATGTGCCTACCATGCATAGGTACGAGTTGGAGGGAGTTATCTTAACGCTTGTAAATTGCTCGTAGTCGATGCGGTGGATTATGAAGAGGGGGGATAATTCACGTCGCATTGTTTATATGATTAATTGGTTTTAAATGACAGTTGCTTTTTTTTTTCTTTTTTCTCTTATTGATAGGTTTGGTATTGGTTTGTATTGTTTGTTTTGTTTTTTTATCTTTATAGCAAGCTGTGGAAGCCACAGAACTTTTAGGGACTTGGCTTCATTTCTTTTTCCTTTTCTTCATCCTTTTTTTTTTTTTTTTTTGACTTTTTTTTTGCTTTCTTTAACCCTCTTTCTTTGTACCCTGGAGGCTGTGAGGCAGAGAGGGGGAAGAGAGAGCAAGCGAGGAGACCAACAGACAAGTCATGCTTGTGTTTTTTTTCCAGAGCCTCAACAACAGAACTGAGAGGCAGAAAGGAGCCAGTTGTAATTCATACCGAGTTGTAGGCTTTGTGTGATGAAAGCGACAGAGCGCTGCCTGGGAGATTGCTTTGCTGCACTCCACGAAGCAGATTTGAAACTGTCGTGGACCACTTTAGATGAGAGTTGGATTATGGAATGACCTGCTATGTCTGTGTCATATTGTTCTGCGCAGGGTGCATTATACTCTGCTAACTAGGTGTTCAGTACCAAATAAGAGAGGTATCCTAGATGTGATCTGTCAGCTGTGTCTCATATTTTTATATTGGTTAAAATATAAAACTGAAGCAGTGATGAAAGAGGACAGAGCAGTTGGATGCCTTGTATGTTAACAGTAAATATGCACTCAGAGTGTTTAAAATGTGCTGAACCTTATTTAATTATTTTGAGAAATCTAGCATTACCTATATTTTTTAAACAAACAAATAACCCCCTACTGAATTGGTAAAAAATGTGGCTACGCGTGTATGTGCCTGTAATAAACCAAGCAGTTCATACTCCTTCATAAGGGCATTGCATTTTCTCTCCTTAAGGGCTGGTGGTGTTAAGTACAGTGTTTCAGAGAGCTGAAGATGTTCACAGACAGTATGTCTGAGAACTCGTTTAAAAGCATGTGAAAAAGGCTGAGGTCACTGTTAACTTTGTTGTTTCCTGCTGCCCTAGGCTTGAAGATGCAGTGGACGCCGGAGCATGCCCAGTGGCCAGAACAGCACTTCGATATCACTTCAACCACTCGGTCCCCTGCCCATAAGGTGGAAGCCTACCGGGGGCACCTGCAGCGCACCTACCAGTATGCCTGGGCCAATGATGACATCTCGGCTCTGACCGCCTCCAATCTTCTGAAGAAGTATGCAGAAAAATATTCTGGCATTTTGGAAGGCCCAGCGGAGCGGCCCATTCTCAGCAATTACTCTGAAGCTCCCTCGGGCCTGGTGAACGGTCGGAAGAATGAAAGTGAGCCTTGGCAGCCGTCGCTGAACTCAGAGAGCGTGTATCCCATGAACTGTGTCCCAGATGTCATCACCGCCAGCAAAGCTGGGGTAAGTGCAGCCCTCCCTCCCACAGATGTCTCGGCCAGTATCGGGAGCTCTCCTGGGGTGGCCAGTAACCTGGCTGAACCCAGTTACTCCAGCAGCACCTGCGGAAGTCACACTGTTCCCAGTCTTCATTCAGGGCTCCCATCTCAGGAATATGCCGCAGGATACAACGGCTCATACTTGCATACCAGTTACAGCGGCCAGCCAGCACCTGCACTTCCATCCCCTCATCCATCCCCCTTGCATAGCTCGGGACTTTTACAGCCACCACCACCACCACCACCACCAGCCCTCGTTCCTGGCTACAATGGGACCTCTAACCTCTCCAGTTACAGCTACCCTTCTGCCAGTTATCCTCCTCAAACCGCTGTTGGCCCTGGGTACAGCCCTGGGGGTGCCCCGCCACCCTCAGCTTACCTGCCTTCAGGAATCCCTGCTCCAACCCCTCTGCCCCCAACCACTGTCCCCAGCTACTCCTACCAGGGCCACGGTCTGACACCCATCGCGCCATCTGCCCTGACAAACAGTTCAGCCAGCTCTCTGAAAAGGAAAGCTTTCTACATGGCAGGGCAAGGAGAAATGGACTCCAGTTATGGAAATTACAGCTATGGCCAACAGAGATCTACACAGAGTCCCATGTATCGAATGCCAGACAACAGCATTTCAAATGCAAACAGGGGGAATGGTTTTGACAGAAGTGCTGAAACATCATCCTTAGCATTTAAGCCAACAAAGCAGCTAATGTCCTCTGAACAGCAAAGGAAATTCAGTAGCCAGTCCAGTAGGGCTCTAACACCCCCATCCTATAGTACTGCTAAAAACTCACTGGGTTCGAGATCAAGTGACTCGTTTGGGAAGTATACCTCCCCAGTAATGAATGAGCATGGTGACGAGCACAGGCAGCTCCTCCCTCACCCAATGCAAGGCCCGGGACTTCGTGCAGCTACCTCATCCAACCACTCTGTGGACGAGCAACTGAAGAATACTGACACACACCTCATTGACCTTGTTACCAATGAGATTATCAACCAAGGACCTCCCGTGGACTGGAGCGACATTGCTGGCCTAGATCTAGTAAAGGCCGTCATTAAGGAGGAGGTTTTATGGCCAGTATTGAGGTCAGATGCATTCAATGGACTGACTGCTCTACCTCGGAGCATCCTTTTATTTGGACCTCGGGGAACAGGCAAAACATTAATGGGCAGATGTATAGCTAGTCAGCTGGGGGCCACATTTTTCAAAATCACTGGCTCTGGCCTTGTCACAAAGTGGTTAGGGGAAGGAGAAAAAATTGTCCATGCCTCCTTCCTCGTGGCAAGGTGTCGCCAACCCTCAGTGATTTTTGTTAGTGACATTGATATGCTCCTTTCCTCTCAAGTGAGTGAAGAACATAGTCCAGTAAGTCGGATGAGAACCGAGTTCCTTATGCAGCTGGACACTGTACTGACTTCTGCTGAGGACCAAATAGTAGTAATTTGCGCCACGAGTAAACCAGAAGAAATTGATGAATCTCTTCGAAGGTACTTCATGAAACGACTTTTAATCCCACTTCCTGACAGCACAGCGAGACACCAGATAATAGTACAACTGCTCTCACAGCACAATTACTGTCTCAATGACAAGGAGGTTGCACTGCTTGTCCAGCGCACAGAAGGCTTTTCTGGACTAGATGTGGCTCACTTGTGTCAGGAAGCCGTGGTGGGCCCACTCCATGCCATGCCAGCCACAGACCTTTCAGCCATTATGCCCAGCCAGTTGAGGCCAGTTACATATCAAGACTTTGAAAATGCTTTCTGCAAGATACAGCCTAGCATATCTCAAAAAGAGCTTGATACATATGTTGAATGGAACAAAATGTTTGGTTGCAGTCAGTGATGCTACTTTAAAAAAATGTAATGAATGTTGGCACACACAGAACCTGCTACATAGGGTAGAGAACCCTTTTCAGTAGTGTTAAAATTGCAAAGGGTACTGGGAAGACTACAATTTACCTTGCCTCTAAAGAGCCAGGGTATACTTGAAGGAAAAGTGCATCAAACAAGAGCTGCTGATCTGAAAAAGCCACACATGACAGAAAGCGCATGTTGATGCTCAGTTCTGTTCAAGCTAGACAATACTCACCAAGGAGCAAGGTGCAAGTGGGTTGATTTCAGAAGGACATGAACCCTGTGTGTTGATTCCATTCTGCTGTTCTTGAGATTTAGTTGCTGTCAAGTGCCTGAAGTGGTGCTTTATTTTTTGTTTGCCTCACAATTACATTGGTGGCATGTGCTAATATAAAGAGCTTTAACTTCAAACATTATTGGACTAAAGAGATGAACGGTTGTGTTGCAACAGAGAGCCAGATTTTTGCTATTCTAAGAGCAACAGTATTCCTCAATCCTGTCTGTTCTGTGGTGTTAAACTAAGAACAGGTAAAACAGGGTAATGGTAATCTGGACCTTAATTTCTGCAGTTCATTTCTTTTAATGTTCTGTCTGCAAAAACTCAGGAAAGTGATTGTGATTTGTACAGTACCTCAAAGGAATGTGTTGAAAGCACTATGTACTGCTGAGAGTTATAGGCTAGGCTTCAATGTTACTTTATATTAAATATGTATGTTTACCTCAACAATTGGAAAATGGCAAGGAAAATCACTTTGAATGTATCCAGGAAAAAACTAAAGTGTGATATGACTGAAGCTTTACAGTTTTTAAAAATAGAAACAGAAGCATTTCCCAATGTTCAGAAATGGTTCTTTTGCCAATTTGTCAGATCATACCAGAGCAGAATGATTTTTCTTTTGGTGAACTGTAAGAGTTTTCAGCATATTGCGCCTTGATAATTATGTGATACAGTCTTTAGAAGGTGCATAAATGAAAAAAGAGCCACTTAATTGGTTTATGTTAGCATCTGGAACAGTCAAACGTAAGATTTGGTAGGATTCTGAGAGGCAAATTACCTTAAACTGTGACGGCTGGCCTTTGTTGTGTGGCTCTAGTCGTAGTTTTGAGGTTATTTTGGTGAAGCTGTAGGGAGTGGGATCAGTGTAGGTCGCTGGCAGAGCTATGGATTGCAGAGCTGTTTATAGCAATGCAGTGGACTGTGACCAAACAAACAGTACAAATAACAAAACTGAACCCTCAAAGTACATTTACTTCCCTTCCCAAACTGTAAAGTTGAGTTTTTGTTGTGTATGTATGGCTTCATTGTCCTTAATGCAATCTTCATTTAGCATCCACTAGAAATCTTTCAGGCTGGAGTGTGCCCACCATTATTTCTACCTCAGTTTTGTTATGTTTCTCTTGGAAAGCAAAGTAAGAAATAGGGCAAAAAACACCACCAACACAAAAGTCAGATTACATTAGGAATGCAAACCTGCTAAACAAGTTTCAGAGCTGCTGTTTTTTCCCCTGAAGTCAAGTTTTTCTCTATGTTAGTGCTCTTTACCCCCTCCTTTTTCCTCCTCCAAATATACATATTCTGGTGTCTTCCTTCTGGAAAGACTAGCTGGCATGTGTGGCATTTTGCTCAGTTCTCCCCCACCCACGCCCACCTTTCTTTTTATCCTTTAATGCTTTCCTTGAAACTCTTTTGGTGACAGCTGACTGATGTTGGGTAATGTCTCTGAGCTGGAGCAGTGCATATCGCAGCTGCCCAAAGCCTCTGCCATCGCATAAACAAAACAGCCTTGCTTTTTTGAATGTATTTTTGTTTGTTTACTTTAAAGAAACAGTAACAAAACTGTTGCAAAGCACTGGCATTTAATGTTTCTCTTACGTAATGTACGTTCAAGACCATTAAATAAATGCACTGAAAAGCCCCAAGAAGAGAGATACAATTCTGTTACTAGGTCATGTTTGTCTTCTCAAAAATTGTACAGACCTTGTCCGTTTTGTTAAATCAATGGCAACATTTAGCATTCAGAAAGCTAATGAGGGATTTTGTGATATTGCTGGAAATTTGTGACTCTTGATTATTACTTTCCTTTATTTTTCTTTTAAGATATATATATATTTAGATAGAACATGCTGAAAACAGAGCAAATAAACCAAAATCTAATTTAAGATGGATTCCTGGCAAACATTTTGTCTATCTAAAACTTTATGTTTTAAGCATGAGTACCATTTTAAAAACAGTGCCTTTCATTAAGGATATAGAAAGTAAGACCTAAATACATCACCTGCCTTTCTTCCTTTTTTTTTTCTTTTTTTTTCCCCCTTTTCAACAGCAATTACAGCCTATGATCCTTGTTATGACCCAGTCTTTCTGCGTCCCCAAACCTCTACAGGCTGCTTCTTCACCCTGGTCATTCCACCCTCCTCATATTTGGGAGATCCTGATGTTCCCATTAGCTGTAGGTTCACAATGATCACACTGCGAGTACACTGTTACAGATTGCTGACCCAATTTCTGTCTTAGACATTGCCTTTCATATCTGCCATTGAGCTGTGCTCATTTAAAAGGCTCAGACAAGTTTTGATAAACTGTTTCTCCTAACCATACTCCTAACAGACTTTTTTGCAGCTTGTAAAATGAAAACTACACACTAAAGTGGGGAGGTTTTCCCCCTCTTTATCTAGTAGCTAAACCAAAAGCAAACATAATTGTAGATGGTCCCTTTGGCTTCCAGCTTTAAGTCAGTCTCTTTAAAAAGTCACTCTGGGAAATGGGTTTTTCAAATGTTAACCAAAGTGAGAAGCAGGCAGAAACTGAGATGGTGTGAAAGATTACACACACACACATGCTCACCAGCTCCCTGTCTTGATTCGGTTATGGGGCAACAGAAGTGGAAGACTTCACTCCTCTTACAACTGTTGTAAGGAGGGGAAAATGGAGCCAGATTGTTACCCAAATCTTTCCTTACCAGCTGCTGTTCTTGGTATCACTCTGGGAGGGTGCCTGTTGAATTTGGTGAGAGCTTGGACAGGAACTGCCAACAGGAACACCTCAACCCTTTTCCAAGTGTTTCCTGGCCACTCCTTTGGTGCAATTCGGGGCTGAGCTGTCTAAAACTCATGCCATGTCCTGTCTTTCTTATTGCTTTCCTTCCTTCTCCCACATTCAGCCCATTTTGCCCCTAGTTAGCAGGTTTCGGCATGCTGCTGGTCCTTCATCCCTCAGCAGCCTTCTTGTCAAGGAGGGTCCAGGAAGGGCTGAAGCACAATCCTGAACTTGAGCAGGTCCTAAAGGTTAGGATTGTTGTTGAGAAGAGAGACAAAATGTGTTTAATGGTGTTTTCAGGATGAAATATTTGCTGGTCTTTGACATTTCCATGATAGAAAGCCGTTTGTTGTGTTTTACATTTGGGCAAAGCTGGATGCTGCTGCCACAGAAATGCCCAAGTGGCGCCTCCCTGCCACTGGCACAGCCCTGAATTTTAAGGAGCCTGAAATGGTTAAAGAGCATCTGCTGTGTCAGCCTATCACTGCAGATGCTTTACGTCGTATTTTTATGTGTGGATTCCATTCTGCATCAGCTCATTTTCTTTCTTGTACCTTCAGTTACCTCCAGTAACAATTCAGCAACAAAAGTAAAATAAATTGGGGGAATATTTCTGCAAGCTGAAGGATCAATATTAATTCAAGGAGGAGTTCATAATGACCTTATGTGAGACAGAAATGGAAATACTCTATACTTCTGGCATGTTTCTCTTCAAAATATTTAGAACATTAGTGACAATATATAAAAGTTTGCTGACTGAGCTGATCAATGGAATGTGAAGGCAGTTTACTTTAAGGCTATTTACTTTCACACGGATTATTTATCTATTAGTCAGTCTGTATTCTACTCAAACGCAGATAGATGGGCAAAATGTTTTCTTGAGCATTACAAACCTACCAAGGGGAAAATCAACCATCTGACTAAAATACATAGGCCAAACACCATCTGGGTGTCTTTACCAGCTGTGTGGAGGCTGTGCTCTGTAAAATGGTACAAAGTCATATTTAGGTGTTTTTTCATAGAATGTTTCTTTAGGGGATTGTCTAGTTAAAAAGATGCAAATTAATTCCTGCATCAAGGTGTTAATACATTGAAAGCAAATTTGGGGATATGACCAGGATTTTCACTGTCTGCAGATAGATATGACTTTACGTAAAGGGCTGTTCTTAAAATCCCCCTGCATTTTTCTCTCAAGCACTCCATCATGAGGGAGAGTGCATTACTCAGATCTGAAGGATACACTTTGTCACAAAACAAGGCCACCAAAAGTTGTAGGGCCTCCTACCCTTTCACTTACACCAATCTGAAGGTGGAATAACCTTGTTGACTTAAAGGAATTACTCCTGATTTCTGCCCTTGTTAGAAAAGTCATCCCTCCAATGTATAATCTGTCTGTTGGTTTTCATCATCAGCTCTGAAAGCTAACCTTGTCCTCACAGCACTAACTCCTTTCCATCTCGTATGTGTGCATGTGTGTATATAATATTTATATGTGCATACACACCGTGTCCAAACAATAGCTTTGTCTCTTTACTGAAAAAAAAAAGAAGTCATTTAATTGTCTGCAGATTTATATGAAGCACATTAGTAAACATGGATATATTAGTATTTCAGAATTCAAAAAAAGCCCAGCTGTGCTGGTGACTAACCAATACATGAACTGAAGCTCACACTCTGCAAGGACCTTTGGTTGACATTCGATTTTGAACCTGCCAGATGCATTTTTGTGAACCAGGGATACTGCATGAAGTCATTTAATTGTCTGCAGATTTATATGAAGCACATTAGTAAACATGGATATATTAGTATTTCAGAATTCAAAAAAAGCCCAGCTGTGCTGGTGACTAACCAATACATGAACTGAAGCTCACACTCTGCAAGGACCTTTGGTTGACATTCGATTTTGAACCTGCCAGATGCATTTTTGTGAACCAGGGATACTGCATCTTTAATGAACAATACTCTTTCCTTTTTTTTTTACAACACAAGCAGTGTAGCACTAGGCACTGCAATTGTCAAAGACAATTAGACTGAAAGCAGGAAAATTTCACCTCCCTGTCTCAGTGATATGTAGAATGTCGGCAGTATGGGTCAGCCTTGCCACAGAGTTGTGTGAGAATATATGAATCAGTCCTATAGAATGTTAAATATTTATAAAATGGTTCTGTACTACACCAAGGTTGGGAGCACATTCATTCCTTCTTGTTGTTTTATAATAGAGAAAGAAGCAAAAGTTTATTTCCAAACCTAAACTTTGTGTGGTTCTTTTTTCTTTTAGTTTTGTTTTTGTTCTCGTGGTTTATATGCGGTTGCTAGAGGCTTTTCATTTCCTTTTTAAAAATATTTTTCATCAGATGTGCATTCAGACATTTGTTCTTTAAAACCATTTCTACCTCATTGCTACATATTGTACATGTAGTATTTATTTGTTGTCTTTTTTTGAATGTCATGCATTTCGTAAGAAAAAGACTTGTCCTTGAACTTGAACAGTCTACCTCAGAAAGACTGTCTTTACACTGAACAGTATTAACAACCTAAACGATAAGACGCATTAGCGAAGTGTGGCAGGGTAGATAATGCACGAGTACTTGGGATACTGATGGACTTTTAATTGTACTCATAACACAAGACTGCTTAAAGGAACTTAAAGGAAATTATGCACTGTGTAGGTCTTCATCAAGGTCCCATTTTGGCATGCTATACAAAAAAAATGCAGCTTTATTCTGATGTACCCTTCTTGAGAAAATTGGTTGTAGTTTTCAAGCATTCTTTTGCCTTGGCAATCTGGCTACATTTAAAAAGAAAAAACCAAAACAAACAGCTTTTCTCTATTGACTGGCATATACAGTATTCAGCTCTTAAATTATAGTACTTAGAATTATTTTCATCTGCAGTCTTCAGTGATGTAAAATGTGTCTTACACTGTAATTCTATGACTCCCTGTATGATTGATTAATGAAAACAAACTGCAGTTGTAAGAGTCTGTGCAAGGTTTATCAAACCAAAAAAACAAAAAGGCACTTCCCAAAGGATTTAACACATATGGAGTCATGGTGCTCACAAGTTCTGTAATCATGTGTTTTTATTGCTGATTCTGCTTTATAAACATGTATTTGCTTTTTGAAATATTGTACAACTAATGGCACATTGAATTACTTTGTATGAAGTATTTTATATTTTAATATTTATTTTAGCATCAGGTTTTTTGGTTTGGTTTTTTTTTTTGTTTTGTTTTGGTTCTTCTTCACCAGCTCTGCATTACTGTAAGAAAAGAACATTTAGAATTCAAAAAATGCTGAAAAGGTAACACCACCCAATCGATGAATGGACTTTTGAAG